TTGTGCCGTACCATTATGGAAGAAGATTCGGACAAAATGTGGACTTCCACGGGAATAAAAAAAAATGGATTTACTTCCTTTTGGTATTTTGGCCAAAATACCTTGACTCCTCGATACTCAATCAAATTCTCTTCGTTGACGATTGAATTTAGTTCTCGAGTCTCATATTTAGTAAGTCCCGAGCTCTTTCTTATATATCGAGGATCATCGAAATAAGCAAGAATACTATTTCTACGGAGAATACCATTTCTGGGTATTTCCATTGAGATACCTGAAGAAGGTATTAGTTGGTTCTCGCCTTCTTGAATCGATTCGAGTGGGATGATGAATCTATTTCTTCGCCTCTTTGCCAATAAATCAGAATTACCGTCGAGAATGGCCGGATATCTGAGATTACAATGATCCGTACATGTCATTCGATTCAGTTCTGAATAATCAGGAATCCTATCTCCTTTTTGATTTTTACCAGAAAAATACGAACTAAAAAATTTGTGTCTCACTTGATTATTAGTTACTGAGGGGTTAGCAATATATCTTGGCTTGACAGAAAGAGAATAAGCGTTCATTTGATCTTGATCCTTGTGGATCGAACAAGGGCCTAGACTGTATCTCCAGGGCTCCCCTAATAATATCCATAAATGACTTGTTTTTGGTAAGAGATGAATATTACCATATGTAAATTCAGGTGCATGGTACACATCAGTATTCCAGTGCATTTCGCCTTCTGAGTCAGAATAAATATGTTTTCGAACCTTCTCTTTCAAATTCAAAGTGGAGGTTCTCGCGCGAATCTCAGCAATCACTTGTTCTGATTCTACATATTGATCGTTTTGAACTAAAAGAAAACTTTTGGGCGGAATACACACATTGTGTATAATATCTTCACTCTCAATAGTTACATACAAGTCTCTAGAACATAGAAAAGCAGGATGTCCATGACGTGTACGTGTCGGATGAACCAAATCCTCGTTGAATTTTATTTTTCCATTAGAAGGGGCTCGCACATGTTCTGCAGTACCCCCTGTAAATACTCCGCCGGTATGAAAAGTTCTTAATGTTAATTGAGTGCCCGGTTCTCCAATAGATTGACCTGCAATAATACCTACGGCTTCTCCCAATTCGACCAGGTCGTCATGAGCTGGACTCCGGCCATAACATAATTGACAAATCCAAGATGTACTCCTACAAGTAAAGGGGGTTCGAATAGAGATTGGGTGTGCTCTAAAAGTTATGAATCTACTGACAAGTCCAACCCCAATATCTTGATTTCTAGTAGCAATACATCGCGAACCTATATATATATCATCTGCTAATACACGGCCAATTAATGTTTGGATAAAAATCCTGTCCGTCATCATTCCATTTCGAGGACTTACAGAAATACCTCGAACGGTGCCACAATCTGTTCGACGTACAACAATGTGTTGAACTACTTCAACAAGTCTGCGCGTGAGATATCCTGCATCTGATGTTCGGATAGCGGTATCCACAACCCCTTTACGGGCTCCGTAACAAGAAATAATGTATTCTGTTAACGACAGTCCTTCGCGTAAATTGCTTTGAATGGGTAAATCAATCATTTGCCCTTGAGGATCCGACATTAATCCTCTCATACCTACTAATTGATGTACCTGAGATGCATTTCCTCTGGCTCCCGAAAAAGACATTATATGGACTGGATTAAAAGGATCGGTCATCCGAAAATTAGGATTCATTTCTTGTCGCAAATATTCACTTGTGGCATACCATATTTCGATCGATTGACGTAATTTTTCTACCGCGTGTACATTCCCATAATGATGGTGTTTTTCCAAAATAAAACTTTGTTGTTCAGCGTCTTGAACTAGCCATCTTTTAGAAGGTATTGTTAAAAGATCATCAATTCCTAATGAAATGGATGCGGCGGTAGCTTGTCGGAAACCCAGAGTCTTTACTTGATCTAAGATATGTGATGTATATCCTATTCCATAGTGATCAATAAATCGACTAATAAGTCGTTTCATGGCAGTTCCGTCTATCACTTTATTGTGAAAGACCTGAGTGGGCCGTTCTGCCATCAGTACCTCCATATTGCGCTGAGTAGAATTTTACAATGGGCTTGAGTCAGTGATTGGAAAACTTCCTTTTCTAGATCTTGATTCACGTATAAATTCTGCACTTATGGTCCTAGTTAACCCGGAGAGACTCGAATTCCCGTTGGTAGCATAGAATTACAACAGCCCTGCCAAAACCCCTGTATGGCTTCTTCTATTTCTCGATAAAGGGAAATATGACCAAGAGTGGTTCGAATATATATATAAAGAATTTCTTTTTTTATACTTCGTACTATTAGATAGTGTCCATAAATCTCATAATAGGTCCCCACAGATTCATAGTGAATTTCGATGGGAACTTCTCTTGCAGTAATAACGCGTTGATCTAGTCGCCACCGCAGCCACAAAGGACTACCTAAATTGATTCGTTTTTGCCGATAAGCTCCAATTGCATCATAGGGATTACAAAAAAAGGGTTCTTTTTTTTTTGTATACTTATAGTTATTATCTTCATTTTGATAGTTTCTACGATTACATGGATTATACCTATTTACACAAATACCCCGACGATTTCCACTCGTTAAGACATAGAGTCCACTAAGCATATCTTGAGTTGGTGCCGAAATCGGATCCCCAATAGTTGGAGACAAAAGATTCATATGAGAAAACATAAGTAAACGCGCCTCTGCTTGAGCCTCCAAAGATAAAGGCACATGAACAGCCATTTGATCCCCGTCAAAGTCTGCATTGAAGCCCTTACAAACTAATGGATGTAAACAAATAGCGCGCCCTTCCACTAAAACGGGGAGGAATGCCTGTATGCCTAATCTATGCAGAGTAGGCGCTCTATTCAGCAATACAGGATGGTCATCCAGAATTTCCTGAAGTATTTCCCATACAATCGGTTTTTTTTTCCGAATTTGACTCTTAGCAACTCCTATGTTCGAAGCAAGATGTTTTCTAATTAGGTCACGAATTACAAATGCCTGGAAAAGTTCTATTGCTATTTCGCGAGGCAATCCACATCGATGTAATGAAAGTGAAGGGCCCACGACAATCACGGACCGCCCTGAATAATCGACCCGTTTACCAAGCAGAGTCTCGCGAACTCTTCCTTCTTTGCCTTCAATTACATCTGAAAGCGACTTGTAAACTCTATTATGATCATCCCTCATTGGTTGTCCGCAGATTCCATTATCAAGAAGTGCATCCACGGCTTCTTGTAGCAATTTTTCCTGAGATATTATTAATTCTTCTGGCGTAGCTATACTTGTTGTTAATAGATCTGTAAGAGTATTATTCCGATAGATAATTCTTCTATAGATTTCATTAATATCCGAGGTCACTAGTTTATCCTCATCTATATGATAGATTGGTCTCAACTCAGGAGGAAGAACTGGTAATAGACGCAAAACCATCCATTTTGGTTCTATATTTGTTCGAATAAAATGCTTAGCCAATTCCATGCGTCTAAGCAAAAAATCTTTTCTTCTTCCAACTTTTCGATCTTCCCATTCGTTCCCTGTGGGTTCCTCTTCCTCCAATTCTTTCCATTCTACCAATGAATAGTCTATAATAATTCGTAAATCTAGATTGGCTAATTGTTGTCTAATAGAACCTCCCCCAGTAGACATCTCTCGATTTCGAAATGTATCGAAGCTCCGGGTAGTAAAAAAAATGGGGATCCTGTATTTCCAGGGTTGAATTTCATATTCTAATAAACCCCGTAATCGTAAAAAAGTAGGTTTTTTATCTATGGGCCTAGCAAAATAAAAATTGGGATAGGATCTCCCCCCCTCAAAATCGGACGTGAAAGTTTCCTTTCATCCGGCTCAAGTAGGTATACCAAAAAAAGAAAAAGAAAGGAGTTCTTGCTTTCAAATTCTAGAAAACTCCAAAAAGATCTACTCCTTACTCAAGTTTCCAGTGAAGACCAAGCAAAACTTCATGGATTCCGTCTTCCTTAATTATTTTTATTTAGATTTTATGAATTCTTTATTCAATTATGACATAAATGAAATGTGAAATTCTTGAGTAGTCTACTTCCCCTCGAATGATGAATCCCGTAATTCTTAATGAAAGAGAGTACCTTAGAATTCAGAAGGAATTTACTTGTCTATTGTACTGTTCCATTTGATCTTTTAGGTCCCGACTTCACCTCGACGGTTAGGCCACGATGCCCTTAAAGTCTATATGCGATAGATAGACTCTTGTAACCATGACATCTTTTCTATTTGCTTACTTAAACATAATTTGTTTCTAAAAAAGGAACTGCTTAATTCCACAAAAGAAAAAGTCTTTTTTTTTTACGAGGTCTAACTATAAATTCTTATGAAATCGACCATAGATCAATTCCCTTTTTGGGGAGCGTCTTGAATACATCCCTAATTCTGAGCTTCATGTTACTCCTACCAAGAAACATGTCAGGTACAGGGCATCCCGATTGGATTAAATGGGATGACAGTTTCTCATTTCGAATCTGTAAAATCAGAATTTCGATCAAATCACACACCGCAGTATACTAGGTCTTCTAATTCGTTAAGAGGTTTATCTAAAAGAGTCACAATATAACTAGGAAGACGTTTCAAATACCACACATGCATTACCGGGTATGCGAGTTTGATGTAGCCCATTTGATATCTTCGTATCCGAGAATCAACAAACTCGACTCCGCATTGTTCACAAAATTGCGGGTCTTCCTTTTCATCTCCGATTACTCGATAATTTCCACAAGCACAAATTCCACTTTTGATAGGCCCAAAAATTCTTTCACAAAATAATCCATCTTTTTCTGGTTTATTGGTTTTGTAATGAAAGGTATAAGGTTTTGTCACCTCTCCAACTATCTCGCCATTAGGCAGGATTTTTTGGACCAAG